TGCTTTCCCATTACAACGGCAGGGATGAGCACTTGGGACACGGCCAGCAAACCTACATGGTTACTGTCTGGCCCCTGCTCCATCCCCAGACCTCCCCTCCTTCCTCCGCTCTTCCGGAGGCAGGTTGCAGCCCTGCTTCCAGCTCCTGCGAGTCATTTGCAGAGTGGTCAGATCACAATCTTCTTCTCCACTTTTGGTTTTCTTCTTGCTGCCGGAGCAGGGGCTTTTTATCTCCGGCATGATGTCCATGCCATGAAAAACTCCTTGTGCTGAGCACTTCCTTCATCTGAACATGAGACAACGTTCAGTCAACATCAGAGTCTACTGTGTCTGTTTTATGGTCAAATGCCCCTTTATTTTTATGGGAAGGATATTTCATAATTGCTGCTGCAGCGTATTCTGACAGACAGAACATGGCTCCTTGTGAAACATGTGGTTCTTCTCTAAAAGGGAAAGAGCCACTCTGGGGCCAACAGGGCACAGATGTTCCGTCAGCGATGTCAGCTCATTGACTACTTCACCTGAAATGACGTTCCCATGAGGCCCTGGGATACTTGGAAACAAAAGCGCAGCCCAGAGTTGGTTGGCTCTGTGGTTATTACTCTCATGAAATATTAACAGCCCCGCACTATGTTTCTGGTTAACGAGACGGCTCTTGGGCCAGAAGGCACCCAGGGCAGGAGCACTGGATGGGGCTCTGCTGACATGGGTGGGTGTCTGCTTCCTTTGCCTGTTAACTAGGGTCTACGACACCTCTCCGGGATGTGGCAAGTTGTTGTACAGCCTAAGTTGGGCTGTGGGTAGTCATGGAGTGCTTCCTAACTGTCAGGCTCTGAGAACGCAGCGGTGGATGGGGTGGAGGTCTGGGCCACTCCTGGGGGTGCGAGTCCAGCAGGGCAGAGCCACAGCATAAATGGTCAGTGGCAGCTGCCACTATGATCCCATGGTGCTAACTACTTTGGCAGTTCCAGTTATATGTGTGCGTATCAAAGTGTCTTGAAAAACACTGTTTCCACAACTTCATAGAAAACGGGGTGGCGGGATAGTGGGATAGTGGGTGTCCTTCGGCCCGTGGGCAGCCAGCACCATGGCTGGGTGGTCTGTGGAGATGCAGCGGGGGGAGAAGGCAAAGAGCCTTCCGGAGGGTGTGCTCTGGGCAGGGGTCTGGACAGTAGGCCCACACATGGGGGGAGGAAATGAGGGGGTGGTGGGTCAGGCAGGAGCCAGTGGGCAGCCTGCCCCCCCAGATCAGAAGCCACAGGCCCCTCTTCACTTTCCCGGACACTGAGGCCAGCAGGGCCCAGGAGTGGCAGCCGGGCATTGTCGGCTGGCAGTGGGGACGGAAAGAGCAGAGTGGCTTTGTGGGCTGAAAGAATGGTGGCCGGGTGGTCTGGATGGTCTGGGAAAGCTGTAGTCGTCTCTTCAGCGTCAGTTTGCAGTCCCTGTCATCCCTAAGCCAGGCACAGAGAAAGGGCAGTGCCCCCAAGGTCGAGCTGAGATGGGTGGGACTGGTAGCCAGTGCCTACTGTGGTGAGTGCTATGGGCGTTTGACCTTTCTGGCTTTTCCTGTCCCCTCCCTGGTGGGACGGTTCGGAGAGCCCGCCCCAACCATGGGGTCCTGCTTTGCTCATGGGGAGTGGTCTCTGGCTTTGGGTGGCACCAAGAGTACTGGGGTGGGAGCTGCTGCAGAGATCTCTGAGCAGGGGGTCTTGAAGCCCATAAGGGAGTGACTCACCCTGGCCGCGGACCCCCTGGGACTCTGGCCCTGGCTCCCCCCTCCCTCAGGCGGTTCAGGGCTGGAAGACAACCGCCGCAATCGCGCGTGTAAGCGAGACGCTTGCCATAACCCTCAGGAAGGCGAATGCACGGTGAGTGTTCCGTCCCAGGGTCTCTGGGGAGGCCGGCCCGCAGGCGAAGCGTTTCGGGAGGCCGGCTCGGCTCGTGCCAGCTCTACTTCGCCTCCCG